TTTACTTTTTCCCATTTTAATCCTACTGCTTTTCCATTTTTAATGTTTTTTATTTACTTGTTTCCATTCTTTTTTCTTAAATTTAATAAATTACATTCTGTTTTGATTCTGTGGTTAGGTTAATCATATTCATGCTAATCACGTGCGCATAAATTAAAATGGCGTCAAACCACAAACCCACGCAGTGTCTGCAGCTTGATTTTGACTTCCATTTTGTTCTCTCCTTGCCGCTTCTTTTTAAATCCACCTTTGTGGTCCTTGACCCAAGCACAAAGGAATGATGTAAAAGCCAACTGGAGCGGTTTTCTGGTTTAAAAGATTAGAGGGGCCATAGAAGAAGATGAAAGAAAGAAGAAAAAGTCTGAAGAACTTTGCAGAAATTTGAATTTGGGCCTATTCTTCAAAAAAGCTCTCGCTACATTACAGTCCACTTTAAAGGTACCAGGAGAATCGCTCAGTGAAGGAGAGCTCATCTAAGCCATTTATAAGGCTGTACAACGTAAGATAAAAGAGTTATAAGTGTTTGAAAATCATAAAAACGGTCGCCATTTTGAAAAACCAACCTCAATCCTACATATAGGCTACCGCCTATATAATAACTACACAATACACATTACCATCATTTGTATACAATTAGATACTCCTAACACATCAAGCAATAGAACTGTATAACTGGAAGGACACTATACTACAATACTAAGGTGAATTATACAAATTAATAAGTACACAATACACATCACAATCTTTTGTATACCATTAAATACTTGTAACACATCAAGTGATACAACTGTATAACAGGAAAGGACACTATTCTACATTGTTAAGGTGAATTATACTAATAAAAAGTACGCAATACACATTACCATCTTTTATTTACAATTAGATATTACTGACACAAAAAGCAATACAACTGTATAACAGGAAAGGACACTATGCTACACTATTAAGGTAACTGATACTAATAATTAGTACACAATACACATTACGATCTTTGGTATAGAATTAGATACAGTGTAACCAGCTCAATCCGGTCACCCTTGGGCCAGTTTTAAATGGCCTGATTATGCAGGTGGCTGCATTACAGATCAGCCTCTGTAATACAGCCATTGACCATTCTGTAATGGAATGGCCTGTTTATACAGGTCAAGAAAGTTAATTAAATTTATTGAATTATGTATCATAACTAATTTATTCAACATTGCATGTGAAATATTGTTAAATAAATAAATAAACTTAAAATGATAGTTTTACTAAGTGATATGCTAGTACAAAGGTTATCATGTGTCTGTTCAGGACTAAAGTATTGTTTAAGATCAGTTTGGATTAACTTTATCTTTAGCTTAGCAGCTTCCCAAGCAGATCTAACCTGGAACATATTCTGTACATGAACGTCCTCCATACCATTTTCAGACAAAAATTGTACTAAATCATTGGAAACTTCTATCACAAGATCGAAATCTCTTATTGTGCTACGTGTACACTGTTGCTCCTCATGATTGTCATCTTCATTGGCATTAGCATCCTCATCATCATCACTTTCTTCAGTTGCCACTCTTTTTGCCAACGGAGCCTCACAAGCCAGTCTTCTTAATTCTTTTCGCCATTCTCCAGTCTCATCAAATGTAAGGCAGGTATCAAGATCATTGTCAAAGGATATATATTCTTCGGCTGTCATGTCATGGAATTGAGATACAAGGTCATTTAAAGTTGGCTCTTGTGCTGGCGATCCATCTAGTTCTTCCTCTTCCTCAAGTCCAGCAAATGGATCGACCTGTGGCTCTTCATTAACTTCCACTGCACCACAAAGCTTGAAACAATTTGGCAATGGTTGTACATTTTACTTGATCCCATGCCTGATTGACCCACGAATAGCTGTTAAAATGTCAATGCTTTTAGCAATTGCTGAAGCTGTGAGGTCTGTAGTGTCGATTTTACTTAGAGTATGCTGAAGGAGACGACGATAGTGAACTTTGAAATTTTTAATGATTCCAGCATCCAAAGGCTGTAGTTTAGAAGTGGTGTTTTTTGGCAGAAAAACAACCTTGATGTTAGAGAACTTGTTTTTCAATGCTGGATCATGAGAAGAAACATTGTCAAGTAGAAGGAGAATGTTTCGCTTCTGCTTTCCTAGCTTTTGATTAAGAGTTGATAGCACATTGTTCATGATGTCAGTATTCATCCATGCCTTCTGATTGGAATAGTAGGGAATACCTGCTGGCTGTTTAATATTGTTGAGCCCTTTAAAGCACCTTGGTTTTGCATGTTTACCTATAACAATAGGTGCCTCTTTCCCCCCAGCAGAATTAGCAAAAAAAGCAACTGTAATTCTGTCTTTAGACTTCTTTCCTCCACGACATTCCTTCTTTTCAGCTAAAGTCTTTTCAGGTAAAGCTCTGTAGAAGCAACCAGTCTCATCTTCATTCCAAATGTCTTCAGCTTTATAGCCAGCTAAAATTAACTTTAGTCTTTCATGCCAATTTTCAACTGTCTCTTCAGAAACATCTGCAGCCTCTCCACTCACAGTTAGTTGCTTTAATTTATGGTGCTTTTTAAAACTTTGTAGCCAACCATTGGATGCTTTAAATTGAGAACTACAACTGAGCTTTTCTGCTATTTTCATGGCCTCTTCTTGAAGCTTAGGTCCAGATATAGGAACGTTTCGTTGTCTTGCTAATGAATACCAAGTGAACACAGCATCATTAATTTCTTCAAACTGTGTTCCACGTTTACGCTTTCTATCTCCAGGAGCATTACTTTTGAACTGTTCAAAAATGGTATCTTTCTTCTTCAATACTTGTAGAACTTGAGTCCTTCCACACTTAAATATTTCGGCCAGCTTTCGAGAACTAGTGGCAGGGTTCTTCTTTTGATAATCAATGAGATCGACTCTCTCCTTCAATGTTAGTTCATTCCTGGTGCTAGACTTTTTGCTGCAGCTGAAGCCTGGTACAGAAGCCATTTTGGTGAACAAAAAACTCCACCCACCACGTGTATGTGTACAAATGCGCAAAGTATGGCAGCAAATGGCAGTCAAGTTGAAGAATTTCACTCATTCGTCCGAGGTCACCATGTGTATTTCACGATTTGGATTCCAGTTGTAGGTGAAGAATTAGTTCTGAGAAGACAACCTGATAATGAACATGACCCATACGCTGTAGCTGTGACAAAGGATGAAGAAGTAGCAGGACATGTTCCTCGTAATATTAGCTGAGTAGTATCCTTTTTTCTGTCTCACAGTGGAAACGTTGGCTTTTGTAACATCACAGGACCAAAAGTGAGTCATGGTGTTGGACTAGGACTCGAAGTTCCTTGGTATACAAATTTTATGGTAAAAAGGTGTACTTAAAGAAGCTAACTGAACTACTTGGAGATGTAAAATAATTATGTTTGCATTAAATTATAAATTAATTATTTTATTATTATTATATCAGTGTTGGAAATGATTAATTATGGGTGTGGTCTCTGGTTGGCCAGAGTAGCAAGGTTATATGCGACCAAAGGGGACTTTGGCGAGCGGCCAGTATACGCAATACACAGGGACACAATACACAGGGACGCATTAGACAAGTTAATAGCTAATCCTTTTAGACAGGCCTTGATCGGGACTTTGGCTTATGGCTGTAATAGAGAGGTGGCCTTACTACTCAGGTGACCGTTAGCACTGGTTCCACTGTACTCCTGACACGTCAAGTAATACATCTGTATAACAGTAAAGGACAGTATGCTGCACTACTAAGGTGAATAATAGTAATAATAAGTACATAATACACATTACAATCTTTTATCTACAATTAGATATTACAGACACAACAAGCAATAAACTGTATTATCTACAATTAGATATTACAGACACAACAAGCAATAAACTGTATGACAGGAAAGGACACTATGCTACACTAGTAACGTAAGTTATACTAATAATAAGTACACAATACACATTATGATCTTTCGTATACAATTAGATACTCCTAACACATCAAGCAATACAACTGTATAACAGGAAAGGACACTATGATACACTACTAAGGTAGTTTAGACAAACTCTTACCACAAGTGATGTATTGTTACAATGAATGAATATAAAATACCATATGTATTGTCAAATCTTTCATTATGTTAAGGGATCATTCAAAACATTCTTTACCCACAAATATCTTGACAATTCTTATCATGATAAATATAATCTTTTGAGAGTGAATTTAAGAATCAGTTTTAAATGTTTTATCTTTGTTTTTCTAGGTTGGTGGCACCTATCCTAACAAGTAGAAATTTGGAGGAAAACATACAGTCTGCTTTGTAAGCGCTTAATAGTCTACCTTTGTTCTAAGAGCGCTAACAAGGAATGCACACCATAGCTAGAATGGTCACTGGCTTCATCCTTAGTTGGCTTGATGGCTAGAAGAGAGAACGAGTCAAACTACAACATAAATCTCGAGTACTCAATACGCTATACATTTTTATTGAGCACCTACAAAATAAGAACCCTCCCGCCACTCTAACCATCACACTGACTGTAAAACTTACCTTTGTCTTTATCTTAAACAATGATAGGAGAGTTTTAAGTAGCAACACCTTCAAGCAGTTTTTTCTCTATTGCCAACTTGTATGGTCATGTCGTTAGTCATGTGATGTCATTTGTAACATGGAAAGTAAATGGAAACATTAAAAATTGATTTTACAGCAATTTCTCCACTTCTTGCTTAAAACAACAAAATACAAAGGCTTAAAACTTGAGATGGGTAAGCTGCATTGATGTGCAACAAGCACCAATTGATAGAGTATCATAAGAGCAATTTTTTGATATAATATATTTTCTAAATTTTTTGCGTTAAGGTTGATTTTCTCCACATTTTACTAACCTCTCTGTTTACATTCATCTGAACATTCCTAATGTTCATATATTGATGCTACTCGGTATTCATCTATTCTCAGCATAGCCTGCTCTTGATCACTAAAGTAGTGGCTTGCCCTTCCTGCTCTCTTTGCTCATCTTCCAATTCATAATTGAAAAAGATGTTGGAAACAGACTTGCGAGAAAGGTCATACAAACCTATTTGTAATACATGTAAATGACTCATGAAGTATATGCATGCATGCCTGCCTACCATCAATTAGTTATGGATTTACAGACAAAAACTCTCTGATACAATTGTGATTGTGGTTGCCAGTAAATCTCCTATGGTCCTTATTGTATGTAGCATCTTCACTACAAATTCAATTTCACTGGGTTATATCTCGAGACAGCGGGACACTCGTGAAGCCTTTCATACGTGCCAACAATTAATTGGCTAGTTACTATGCTACATTATCACGGTCAGAGATACTGCGGCCGTTGAGTTGTCCTTATTCAAATGTGACCCGATATGAGAAAACCAGGCTATCTGCGGTAAAATCAGTTTTTGGCACTCACAGATAGAGAAAAGTTTCCTTTCCAGCAATATCCCGTTTATGACAATGCGCAATAAAATTTGGAAGTTAGGGACGCTGTTTGGACGATTGCTCTGGAATACAAATACAGAGAAAAAGCCATTTTAAGTTATTTTCAATGTTTCCGTGTCATGCCCGTTCACAAAGTAAATGAAACCACGCCCACCACGTAAAACCACACCCAAATCAATTAATAAACGGGGAATGAAGAAAGAAGCACTTTTGACTCGCTTTTGACAGCATTTGAACTATCTTTTCTTGTATAATGGACATCTTAAGAGTTGTATAAAGCCCTGCCATTCATGGTGACTTCAAATACTAGTAAGTTTTTCATTACCAAGTTATAGAGTTATTATTACGTCTTCTAGTGCTAAAAGTCCTTTTTATGGACTGTTTTGAACACAGATCATCCACATACTTC